TGGCACTATTCACAATAGCAAAGACTGGGAACCAACCCAAATGTCCATCAGTGACAGACTGGATTAAGAAAATGTGGCACATATACACCGTGGAATACTATGCAGCCATAAAAAAGGATGAGTTCATGTCCTTTGCAGGGACATGGGTGAAGCTGGAAACCATTATTCTCTGCAAACTGTCACAAGGACAGAAAACCAAACACCACATGTTCTCACTCATAGGTGGGAACTGAACAATGAGAACACTTGGACACAGGGCAGGGAACATCACACACCGGGGCCTGTTGGGGAGTAGGGGCTGGGGGAGGGATAGCATTAGGAGAAATACCTAATGTAAATGACGAATTGATGGGTGCAGCAGACCAGCATGGCACATGTATACCTATGTAACAAACCTGCACGTTGTGCACATGTACCCTAGAACTTAAAGTATAATAATAATAACAAAGAAGATCCTCCTGCCTCAGCCTTCCAAGTAGCTGGGACTACAGGCATGAGCCACCATGCCCAGCTATCACCTTATTCTTGAATGTGGTGAACAGCTGATTATCTCCATTTATTTGAAGAAACCTCCTTACATGAAAGACAGAACCTACAATGAACAAACAAGAAAAGAAAAAAAAAAAAAAAAAGAGCTTCAGTGGCCAGGTGTGGTGGCTGACACCTATAATCCCTGCACTTTGGGAGGCCGAGGTGGTTGGATCACTAGAGGTCAGAGGAGGGTGGATCACTAGAGGTCAGGAGTTCGAGACTAGCCTGGCCAACATGGTGAAACCCCATCTCTACTAAAGATACAAAAAAGTAGCTGGGCGTGGTGGCACACACCTGTAATCCCAGCTACTTGGGAGGCTGAGGCAGGAGAATTGCTTGAACCCAGGAGGCAGAGGTTGCAGTGAGCTGAGGACAAGCTACTACACTGCAGCCTGGGCAATAAAAGCAAAACTCAGTCTCAAAAAAGAAAGAAAGAAAAAAAGGACTTGGAGGAAATAAAAGCAGTGCAGAAAGCGAGAAAACATGTCAAAATCAAGAAATTCTCAAAAATTTTAGCTTCCGTATACTCTTCTCCCTCAGGAAACTGCTGGAAGGAGCACTCCATCCAAGTAAAGGTGTATATCAAGAAACAGAAAAACATGTGGCTGGGCACAGTGGCTCACACCTGTAATCTCAGAACTTTGGGAGGCTGAGGCGGGTGGATCACTTTAGGCCAGAAGTTTGAGACCAGGCTGGCCAATATGGTGAAACCACATCTCTACCAAAAATAAATTAAAAAATTAAAAAAAAAAACAAAAACCGATGTGGTGGCACATGCCTGTAATAACAACTACTTGAGAGGCTGAGACAGGAGAATCACTTCAACCTGAGAGGCAGAGGCTGCAGTGAGCTGAGATTATGCCACTATACTCCAGCCTGGGTGACAGAGTGACAGTCTGTCTCAAAAAAGAAAAAGAAACAGAAAAACGTGGGATCTGGTAAACCGGAACTCCAACAAAGCAGAAAACAAAGAGAATTCCCTAGATCAAGCTTTTCCAACCCGTGGTGTGTGGCCCAGGACGACTTTGAATGTGGCCCAACACAAATTTGTAAACTTTCTTAAAACATACTTTTTTGTGATTTTTTATTTTATTTTTTAGCTCATCAGCTATTGTTAGTGTATTTTATGTGTGGCCCAAGACAATTCATTTTCTTCCAATGTGGTCCAAGAAAGCCAAAAGATTGGACACCCCTGCCCTAGATGAAGGTGAAGAGAGGTTCCAGGAGGTCAGCTGTGTAGCAGGCCTGGAGAGCACACTGGAGGATGGAAGCCTCTAGAAGGGATGTCTCCAAGAAAAGAAAATGGAAATGATGGATTACCTAATATGTCTGAACCTTTTGAACAAAATTTCACAACTCTGGTGGAAAATACGGAGATGTAATTGTGATAGGTATAGAGAAAACTAAGCAACCAGCAGGTGTGGTGGCTCACATCTGTAATCCCAACATTTTGGGAGCTGAGGCGGGAGGATGGCTTGAATTCAGGAGTTTTGAGACTAGGCCAGGCAACATTTTGAGACTTTGTCTCTACCTTAAAAAAAAAAAAAAAAAAGCCAGGTGTACTGGTACACATCTGTAGTCCCAGCTACTCAGGAGGCTGAGGTGGGAGCCTGGGAGATTGAGGCTGCAATGGGCTATCATTGCGTCACTGCACTCCAGCCTTGGTGAAAGAATGAGATCCAGTCTCAAAAAAAAAAAAAAGAGAGAAAGAGAGAGAGAGATAAAACTAAGCTACTTAAGAAAAAGGGAATAGCCAGACACAGTGGCTCACGCCTGTAATCCCAGCACTTTGGGAGGCCTAGGCGGGCAGATCAGGAGTCAGGAGATCGAGACCATCCTGGCTAGCATGGTGAAACCCCGTCTCTACTAAAAATACAAAAAATTAGCTGGGTGTGGTGGCGGGTGCCTGTAGTCCCAGCTACTCAGGAGGCTGAGGCAGGAGAATGGTGTGAACCCAGGAGGCGGAGCTTGCAGTGAGCCAAGATCACACCACTGCACTCCAGCCTGGGCAACAGAGCCAGACTCCGTCAGAAGAAAGAAGAAAGAAGAAAGAAGGAAGAAGAAGCAGAAGCAGAAGCAGCAGCGGAGGAAGAGGAGAAGAAAAGAAAAGAAGGAGGGGGAGGGGGAGGGGGGAGGAAGAAGGAGAAAGAAGGAAGGAGGAAGGAGGAAGAAGAAGAAAATAATAAACTCCAAGAAAAACAAAATAGTCACAGCCATAAAAAACAACGAAATCATGTCCTTTGCAACAACATGGGTGCAGCTGGAGGCCAATTATCCTAAACGAATTAGTGCAGGAACCAGAAAACCAAATACCATGTATTCTCACTTACCCCTAAAAGTTAGATGCCCTTCCTCCATACTCCCACAGTACCCTCTATATTTTTACCAGAGTCATTATATTCCTCTTTACTTTGTGAGCCCTTAAAAGCAGAGACCTGGTCTGTTTTACTCATACAGTGCCAGGCTCATTGTTTGCATTCAAATGGTTGTTGCATGAACAAATTCAAATGTAACTGCCTGTTTACTTGTCTTTCCTCAACAGGCTGTATGTTCCTTGGCAGATGGATCTGTGGTTTATTAAGCTTTGTTTCTTTTAGCATTTAGCACTCAGCATGAAGACCTAGCGCATAGAAGTTTATTGAATAAATTAACTTTGTCAGCAGTATAATCTTTAAAATACAGTATATAGCATTGAGGAATACATAGAAAGTATTCTCAAGATACAGAGAGACATGGGTTGCTCAGGATTGTTCCTTTGTGTTTCACTTATAGGAAAAATACATATGAAAGATCTCATACTATAGACTACAAATGCCAAATGACCTACTGTGCTCTTACCACCCTTAGCCTAGAAATAAAATAGAAACAATTCCTAAAGAAATAGTCTTTAAAATAAACAGCTAAAATTTTATCAACAACAACAAAAAAGTAGTTGGGGTTTCTGCTCATTAAATTAGTTTGTATGGTAAGCACCATCTAAGTTTCTTGATTCATGGCATGTGTTCTTAAACCAATTTACTATCCACTAAAAATAAATAGCGATCAATATATAAAAAGCAGTTGTATTTCTTGACACTAGCAATGAACCATCTGAAAATGAAATTAAGAACACAATTCCACTTACAGTAGCATCAAAAAAAAATTTAGAAATAAATTTAACCAAAGAAGTGTAAGATATGTACACTGAAAACTAAAAAACATGGTTAAAAGAATGGAAAGACAGCTCAAGTTCATGGATTGGAAGACTGAATATTGCTAAAATGGCAGTACTCCCCAAATTGATCTATAGATTCAATGCAATTCCTATCAAAATTCCGTCTCCCTTTTTGTAGAAATCGACAACTGGTCCTCAAATTCATATGGAAACTTAAGGGACCCCAAATAACCAACAAATACTGGAAAAGAAGACAAAGTTCATGGATTCACACTTTGACATCAAAATTTACTACATAATCAAGATAGTGTGGTTCTTTCATAGGACAGACATATAGACCAGTGGAATAAAATTGAGTGCAGAAATAAACCTGTATGGTCAATTGATTTTCAACAAATGTATGAAGACAATTTAATGAGGAAAGAATAGTTTTTTTCAACCAATTATATTGACACAACTGGATATCTGCATGCAAAATAATGAAGTTGGACCCCTTCCTCATACCATGTACAAAAACTAATTCAAAATTGATCAAAGACCCAAATGTAAGACTTAAAACTGTAAAGTGCTCTTCTTCTTCCATCAAAGCTGGTTGGATGTGATTTCCATGTTGAGATACAATTTATGATACTTGCTCCTTTTGAGCATGCATGCATTACAGAAGCATTTTTTGATCAGTATGTTTACATGTAGTTCTTACAGCTTTATGTATATATGAGCTCAGAAACATTATTACCATCTGAAAAAGCACCCCTAATTTTCTATTTCCTTACCCTGATTTACTCTCTCCATAAGTAGTATCACTGGACTATAAGTTCCTTGAGGGATAGGGCTTTTAGTTTTCAACTCTATCAGCAAAAATATAAAGGTTGATAGAAAATATAAAGCAGGGAAATGCCTATAAATTAAAAGCCTGTAGAAATTCCCATCTTTACATTTTAGCATTTACATATAGATGCCATTTTTTAATGTTTTCAGAAAATAAATAACTTTAGCTACCAGCCCACCCTTTGGAAGAGGTACAGATTATTTCCCATGTAAGAACTTAACCCCACAGTGCTGGCCCATGTCTTGAAGGGTGAAGGGCCAACTAAACTCACATAATCAAATGCTTAAACCTAGCTTCCTTTCTCATGGGAGATACTGAATTTTGTAATAAACCTTACTAAGAATACCTCATACCACTTAAGGTAACTCAGGAAAACTGTATGTTAGTATTCTTCTTTTCTGATTTATTTGTTCACAATCGACTAGAATACTTATGATTGTAGGTTCCATTACCCTTAAAGTCTTGACCCTCTCTTTACTTGGCTGCTCAGGTCATAGGTGCTGTGATCTAGAGAAAAAGTATTCCTTACACTGGCAAATACTTGCAAACTAAGGGGAATGAGTTTCCCTCTGAATGTTTATGAAGGATAGGCCACTATGGTAATGTTAAATTTAATTATAATACACTTCTTGTATTTAGGAGCTAAAAGTCTCAGATGCTAAATGAAGACTGATTTGCTTTTTATTTGATCATATACCTATACTTGTGCAAAAAAATTAACTTCTTGTTTTATAGTTTCTTTGGGGGAAAATAGGGTTTAAAATTCATATCAGTTTTAAGAAAAGTTATTTTTCTAGACATAGTTCAACAACTTACAAATGTAATTGTTACTAAAAAAATAAGTAATAAATAGCCAAAAACTGGTGGTCAAAGATCCAGTAGAAAACATCCTCTTTCACTCATAAATCAAAGAAATAGCCATGAAGCATTTCTATGCCTATAAAAATAGATTCAGCAAGTCTTTAAAACATTTTTGCTAGAATTCACATGAATCTTTCCAGAGAATACTCTTATTTATACTGTTGAAACATATATAACTAAAATTGAGAATTTGTTTAGAAGATATATATAACTAAAACTGAGAATTTGTTTAGAAGATGTCTTATGATTTGCATATATATAAAATAAACAACCATGTGTGCCAGTTATCCCATTTTGACATCCAGCTGTATAGAAAACCTACTTATCATTTAATCTTAAACATATATGACGCTTCAATTTTGAAAGTGCTTTCATTTGATAAAGCATTTATTTGATAAAGCAAGACTATTTACTATGTAGCAAAAATAGTAATTTCCCTCCTAATTACTTTGTGTTGCATTTGAAAAATATGATTTTGATTTTAGATGCGGGGTAGTGATTCATAAATAGATTTTTTTTAAAGACTGGTTTAGAAAATATCATTTAATGTACTCTATTAATAAAATTACAGCCTGTGTCATTCTAGTCATGTCTAACAGCTGGTGACACCTGGAGCTAGCCAGGAAAGTATCTGGTGAAACAGATGGGCTTAGCCCCAGGCCTTGAATGGAACAATTCAGATGCTGCCCAACCCTCCCAGGTGATGGAAATTTCAAAAGGAGATTAACTCCTCAGTATTAAAATACCTTGCCCTATTCTCATTATTCCCATCTAGAAAAAGCATGCTAGAAAGTAACAACAACACTTTGACTTTAATAGTTATAAATTATGAAAATGATCAATTAGTTGAACTCAGATAACTCCTCACTGCTTTTCACTCCTAGAGGATAGGACGGTGAAGTTCAACTACAGCCCACATATGAAAATGAGTAATGTTAATCCAGCCTCTCAAGGCAGGCCAGTAGCTGCTGGCTTGTAATCTTGAATTAAAGTTTTTTATACACAGGTTTTTCAATAGACAAATTCAGGGATATTTTAGCAGAGGGAAAAAATAAGCAAAATAGTTGAGATATCATTGTTTTGCAAAAATAAATCCCATTTTGCCTACAGCAGTTTTTTGTTTGTTTGTTTTGGCGTATCATTCATGGTTCTTCAAAGGTAAGATCACTTAAGTCCTAACTGCCTTCCTTCAGTGTATGTTGTTAGGTGATTGGAATTTACCACAAACTGCTATTTCTTGTAATTCTCTATTGAATGGCTCCATAATTTATATTCAAATATGATCTAGGATGGCTTCTTTTCATAATATCCTGAGTGAATAGTAAATATAGGAAAAGGAACCAGTATAAAAATATACCAGTATAAAAAATAAAAACCAGTATAAAAAATAGTTGTCTATTTTTAAATGGCAAAGCCAGTACTAATCAAGAGTATTCTTTAGTGTCTAGAGATAGCCAAAGGTTGAATTTAAGTTTCAGTCCTTATGCCAGAAAAATATATTCTCTCAAAATATTTTTTGAAAATCCTTTGCTTGTCTATGGAATGCTTTCAAATAAACCTCCTTCCCTCCTGTCTCCCTCCCACTCCAGTCATCTGTCTTAGAGCTATTGGAATCCTGGATCATTGTGGGAAATGAAAGGTAAGTAAGTACATGCCTATAATTTGTTGTTGGTAAGTGTGGAGTGGGGTCCAAGGAATGGTTCGTTTAAAAATAAGACACTTCAGACCACATAACTTGTTTTTTTTTTTTTTTGAGACGGAGTCTCCCTCTGTTGCCCAGTCTGGAGTGCAATGGCGTGATCTTGGCTCACTGCAACGTCTGCCTCACGGGTACAAGCAATTCTCCTGCCTCAGCCTCCCGAGTAGCTGGGACTACAGGTGTGTGCCACCACACTTGGTTAATTTTATATTTTTAGTAGAGATGGGGTTTCACCATGGCCAGGCTGGTCTTGAACTCCTGACTTCGTGATCTGCCTGCCTCGGCCTCCCAAAGTGCTGGGATTACAGGTGTGAGCCATTGTGCCCAGCCAATCACATAACTTCTAACAATATTTACCATATTGGACTTGAAAAATTGTACCTTGCTTTGTATATGTACTGTAGTAAGCTTGAAAACACAATAATACAGTATACAAATAAGGTTTAAAAATAGTTCCTTTTGGTCTACTTTAATTATATAATAATAGTTTCAAATTTCCAAGAATCATTAAGTATACATTTTAAAAAATATATTGAATTTTATCTTCTTTTGTGAATGATTTTGTTCCTTAGGCATATAGGGATCTTGCTCTTTATAACAGACTTTAAGATTGTTGTGTTTTTCTTTTTTTTTTTTTTTGAGACGGAGTCTAGCTCTGTTGCCCAGTCTGGAGTGCAGTGGCACGATTTCAGCTCACTGCAAGCTCCGCCTCCCAGGTTCACGCCATTCTCTTGCCTCAGCCTCCCGAGTAACTGGGACTACAGGTGCCCGCCACCATGTCCAGCTAATTTTTTTTTTGTTTTGAGTAGAGACAGGGTTTCACCGTGTTAGCTAGGATGGTCTCGATCTCCTGACCTCATGATCCACCCACCTTGGCCTCCCAAAGTGCTGGGATTACACGCGTGAGCCACAGGGCCGGGCCCTGTATTTTTCTCTTAAAAGTACTGTAGATAACTGAATAGAGTTGTGTGTTATAATTAACCAGTAGAACATAACATGTAAGTCTAATTCAATATATTTGGTTTCAATCAAATTACAGTTAGCATTTCAAATAGTGCCAATTCTGTTGACTTACTGTAGAAATTCCTGAAGGAAACATAAAAACAGACAAATGAGAACTATGCAAAATATCAAAAGCTATCATTGTAACATCAACTTTTTCTGGGATTTCTTTTCATAATTTCTTTTGTTCTGATTACCTCCATGTTGAAGTCATGTTGGGGTCAACATGAAAGCCATTATAAAGATCAAACACTATTCCAGTATTTGATGCTTTATCTTTGTATGCAGTACAGTCCAAGGAATGGAAGGAATCGCTGCAGTCAACCTTGGTGTAGGCAATAAGGGATGCATTATTTACAGATAATTTAAAAACAAAAAAACCTATGAAAAGTGAGCCTGCTTTTATCAGCAGCAATGACAGTGATAAAATACTTCTCCTAATTGGGCAGAGGCTCCCCAGTACCCTACCCTTGGTGTACGTCTGCCAACATAAGCTCAAAAGTACTATATGCCCAATGCTTTTGAGATGCTTATTGCAGATGGATCTCATTCTCGCCTTTATTTTCAATTTTTGAAAATATAAATGTAGAAGAATATATTATCAGTGTTAAGGCAGCCTACAATCTGTTATAACTTTAAATGTAAAATATACATGATGAATTTTTTTAAAAAAATTCCAATGAAGTTGAGAGAGGAATTGTGGACATAAGTAACTTTCTACCTGAACTTTTAAATACTGATACCCCACTGTTTGAAAGTCACAACTAGGTGCCTAAGGAAATAAGTGAAAAATCAAAATATGTCATACTTGCATTTAATGTATGAGAATTTGTTTTGACCACAGAACCCAACTCCCACTGAGGATTTCACTCCCTGATAGTCATTCCAAAACTTAGTATAAGACTTTTATTTTTTTTCTATATAAGGAATTTAGTCTCAAATAAGCATTCCTCACTTTATTGGCCTAGACTGAACAAGGCAATGGCTAATGGCAATCTAGTCCACAATTAATGAAGATCATATTTTTGCTGACTCTTTGGACCCTGAGTTCATGAAGATATGAAGCACTGAGGCAACAATAAAAAAATACATTAACAAAAATAAAGCACACATTAAAGCACAAAAGCACCTTCATCGATGTTCTCACCACCTGTGGTTCCCACCTTACAGAATTTTCCATCTGTTAGCTATAACACTCTAGAGTTAGGAAAGTAACTAGTACTTTACAAATATTTTTCCTTTCAAATGCTTTATTACTGTTAGAGAAAAAAAGAACGTAATAAAAAAAAGAAAACCACAAACATTTTATATACATGCAAAAAGGCAATAAAGTGACAAAATGTTTAGAAAAAGCATGTGAAAAAGAGTAAAATCATTATTTGTAAATGTAAAACAATAATTTTACTTGCCTTGGGTAGGTGTCTGATTTTTTCTTTCCTTTGTGAGAACGCTGACTAAACTAGAATGACCAGAGGTTCATTTCCAGAATATATTATTCATGACGTTATTTATATGTGTGTTTGCATATGTGGCATGAAATCTCTCATACTATATAAAGGATATATGTTTCACCAAAAGGCAGGAAGAAACCATACCTTTGTTATTTAGAAATCAACTCACAGTTGCATAATCAAACCTAATCATTGTTGTTTTCATATAAATTTTGCTTTATTAGTGAGTTGGCTTTGAGGAAATGTGTATTTCCACGGTAAAACAAGTATGTGTTAATTTCTTGAGCAAGTAGGATTCCAGTATCAGAATACATTCTTAAATACATTATTTCTAAATAAGGCATAGCACATTACTTAATCTTACAAGGAACTTATAATTAGGATCTTCATTAATAAATACATATTTATAAATATATTATTGCTATGCTTGTTAAAGGCACTGACCGTTGACCATTATATATTATTTCTATATGTATATATACAAAGTGTATCCATATATAACTATGTATCATTATATGATATGAAATATGTAACGAAATAATGTATAATGTATACCCTATATTTATATACAAGTATATATATACTATATATACACACAAGTGTTTACATACAAGTGTATATATATAGACAATAGTAAAAGGTCAGTGCCTTCAACAAAGCACAGCAATAATATATTTAAATAAATATGTATTTATTAATGAAGGTCCTAATGATAAATTGCTTGTAAGATTAAGTAATGTGCTATGCCTTAATTAGAAATAATTAATTTACATATACTTGTTTTACCTGTGGAAATACACATTTCCTTATATACTTGTATATATACAAGTGTGTATATACATATATAAAATGGCAAAAGGTCAGTGCATTTATACATATTTATAATGTGTATGTTTTACCTTTGGTTTATATGACTTATATTTATATATATGAATATACATAAATTTATAAAAATGGAAGACTAGCTGGAAACCAGAATCTGACTTCAATCTGGTAAAAATAAAATTTCCCAGTTAGTTTGTAAATTAGTTTTTTGAAATTTAGAAAATAGTATCTCATTGGACCAATATTAAAAATTGTTTCATTCCCAGGTAAGTCCACAGAAATCTATTTAATTTAAATAAATTTTAGTACCATGCTTAAAAGAGAAACTATTTTCCTTTTTATAAGCTGGTTTTGTTTTGATTTGTTTCCTAAAGGAACTGGTTTTTAGCAAGGAGACCGAGAAACTCTACTCCCTAGGGGCTAGCAATGAGAGAAAGGAAGCCTTAAGTCTTTGAGCACAGGGTGACAGTTTGGGTCCTATGTGAGGTGATCAAGTCCATAGCAACAGAGGGAAGGACCAAAGGAAAAGGTCTGTAGCAGCACTACATCAGAAAAAATGGATTCAGCAAGGAAGTGGGTGACTCTGAGTAAGCATCCATGTCAGGATGGTTTTGCTACAGCCCCCACCGAAACATTAATTTAAGTTTAAGAAACTCAACCTTGGTTGACAAGTGAAAGTTTGGAAAAGTAACAAAGAACAACTTAAGTAACAAAATAATTTCTCAGGTCATTACAATGGATGTTTCCTATAACTGAAAAATATGGTTAAAAAGTACAAGCTACATTTGGTGGGTAAACTGTTTAGTTCTTAATTCCAAACTAAATTGTACATTATATAGTAAAATTTTGGCCAGAAAAACTTGGAGATTTTAGTAAAAATTTCATTGACATATTTACAGCCCCAGTGTAGTTTGGCCAGTTTGCAAAGCCTGACTAAGGAGGTTGTAGAGAAAAATATCAGACTTAAGCCCATCAGATCATTAAAGATGCTTTGGCGAGACTTCAGGCTTTACAGACATACTCCGTATGACCGGAGATGTCATAACCAGTGTTCTTTCTCTTGAAATGTTACAATGCTTTAGTTTTATTCTATCCTTTCCCTATTCCATGGAACAGCATCCACTTCTCCCAATTTTAGTAGCATAGTGAGAGATATATTGAGTGTATAGAGCAGGAAAGGCATGAAAACTTATATTGCATAATATTAGTAAACAAAAAATATAACATTATAAATTTTTAAAAATCCAAAAAAATTCCAGAAACAGAACAGTGAGCATGTTTAAAAAGTCAAGACTGACCATTTCTGTGAGCTCTGAGGACTGTAAATGAGCCTCAATCCATAAAGCTGAGAGGTTGTCTTAGCCCACATATGCAGCAGGTGACTCCCTCTGACAAAAGCAATATTTAGCTGGATCTTTTAAAAATAACAATATACTTGTATTTGAGAATAACAATAATATAGTTATATTGTAAAATACTTTTATAATATAATGTACATTTATATAATAATACATACTTGATAGATATTTGAGTCTATTATTAGTTTTATTCTTCAAATATGCCTGGAAAAACATTTAAGTGTATTTATAAATGTAAATATTTAAATGTTATCAAGTATTGGAAAACATGTTTGATTACTATGGAAATATAAATTAAACTTCCCAAGTATTCTATAGAAGATGTACACATCTATAGTATATAAAAGAATTACAGATTCCTTCCTCCCCTTCTTCCTTTATTCTGAGGAAAGAGGTAGTGAAATTGAGCTTTAGTTTTTAACAGGTTAGAAAAAGGAATCTTTTTACATATCTACTAAAAGTTCTATTATTAAATATCTAAGTTTTTAAGTCACTTGGTTTCCTAGATACTTCGATGGAATCAGCAGCCATTGATCCAACCCCAACTCCAAGACTGGAACGTCGCAATGATAGTTCTAAGGCGGAAATTTGACGTAATTCTTTTCGACACAGTTTTACCGGTGTAATACCATGAAGTTGTCCCACATTTCCCGCAACCAGAATTTGGGATGATAGTCGACTGTGAGATTTTGTAAACTGATTATCACCTATTTCTGTTTTATCCTCATTACTTAACATATGCCCACTGGGGGGTGCTAAAGAACTATGAATTGGAGGTAATTCTGGGATATCTTCCCAGAGCTTCTGAGGATTTGGCTGTGTTCTTAAGCTGCTTGCTGAACTGTCCATTTCTCTTTCTCTTCCACTTAATTTCATACTTTCAGGTCTGGATGCCCATTTTAATTCTTCTGAAAGCATGCCTCCTTCTTCTGGCTTCAGGACTCCATCTCCAGCCTCATGATCTAAAAATAATCCCCAAACCAAAAAATTAGATATTATTTCCTCAAAATTAGGTGTTTTAATCAAAACATCTTAACATAAATACATTATTATCACCCAATATGCATAATGGTTTTCAACTTTTTTGTTAAATGACTTATTTTAGATGAACAGATGTGTGAATATATTTTTATTTCACTTATAGGCATCTTGCATGTGAATAACTCACAACTTTAATTCATGGCACAGAGTTGAGAAATAGTCTTTCAGGGGTTTGGTACTCCCTGGAAACATAAGAGTGCTTTGGGCGCCTCTTGTGCCTTTCCATGCTTGCCTTCTCTGCTGGTCTTGCTACTAGTGAATTCTAAATCATGGCCAAGTGATGCCAGCACTGGATAATATTGGCTCTGCCCCGTATCTCAAGGGAAAACTCTGGGACTTGGCATTATATGTGTGGAAATCTGGTCTTGGTTGGCACTCCCAGCGTGATAGCAGCGTTCTGCTGTCTGAATGTACTATGGGGCGTGCGCCACAATTTCTGTCATCAAAATGGAAATGAGAGAATACGCCCTAGGTGGGGACACCCCACTGGAATTAGAGTGAATAGATCAAAGCTAGAGGTTCTTAAAGAATATCTGATATCAAAGACAAAAACTTGCTTAAGGGAAATGCATTACAGGTACTAGACCTAATATGATGAAAAATGCCAACTTTAACATATTGATGCATGCTTAGTATACTTTTCATTCTGCGAAGACAACGTTTTTCTTTTTCTTTTTTTTTTTTGAGATGGAGTCTCGCTCTGCCGCCCAGGCTGGAGTGCCGTGGCACGATCTCAGCTCACTGCAAGCTCCGCCTCCCGGGTTCACACCATTCTCCTGTCTCAGCCTCCTGAGTAGCCGGGACTACAGGCGCCCGCCACCGCGCCCGGCTAATTTTTTGTATTTTTAGTAGAGATGGGGTTTCACCGTGTTAGGCAAGATGGTCTCGATCTCCTGACCTCAGGTGATCCGCCCACCTTGGCCTCCCAAAGTGCTAGGATTAAGGCATGAGCCACTGTGCCTGGCCCAGTCCTGCAAAGACAAAGTTTTAAAACACAGGTTGCACACTGGCAGCTCCCAAGACAAATCTGGCCCAGAGACATGTTTTGCTCGGCCTATAATGTTAGTAATACTTGACCCAAAATTTAAAAATTGAAAAGTTTCTTATAAAAATAGAGATTTACAGCTTTTCTAGAAAAACTGTAAGAGTTAACAGTTTCTAAATTGCAACAGCAGCTGGAACACAGTTGCCACTGACCATTTAGATGACTGCTGCAGTCCCCACTGCTCACTCTGGCTTCCCTGGCTCAGGTAGGCATTCTAGTTTGTAACCCCTGGTTTAAAACATAACTGACTCTCTAGTTTTTAAAATTACCTCAAAATCAAATAACCTAAAATAGCAAATGATCTAGATCCTCCTACATGGAACTGATACAAAATTGACCACAGACAGTGGCTCCCAGACTTTGCTGTACTTCAGAGTCACTGGGAAGCTTTTAAAAATGTTGCACCCTAGCTGGATGCAGTGGTTCATGCCTGTAGCCCCAGCTACTCGAGAGGCTGAGGTGGGAGGATTGCTCAAGCCCAGGAGTTTGAGGCTGCAGTGAGCCATGATTGTACCACTACACTCCAGCCTGGGCAACAGAGCGAGACCCCAACTCTAAAAAAAAAAAAAAAAATTCGTGCTCCCCAGATGATGGTATCTGGGGGAAGGAGTAAGACATCTTATTTTCAAAAGATGATAAGAGGCTCATTGCTGAGGCTCACTCCAAAGCCCAGTTGGATTCTTCACAAGAAAGTTTCCCTTTTCCAGAATTTTATAATTGAGGGAACCAACTAGGGAAAGATTAATTTGACCAAGGTCAGATGACTAGTGAAAGAAGTAAGGATTCCACCCCAGATCTTTTGACTCTATTATCCTTACACATAGTTTTATAGTGATTTAAATTGATACAAGGATAGGTTTAAATATAAGTAGAGAGAATGCAGGTTCATATAAAACTGATTTTATCCTGTTAGAAAACGTATACACTGTAACATAGGATGACCATCAAGTGACCCAAGATATTTTAGTCAAAAGATGAATTTTTCTGCAATATGAAAATGCCAAAAATATTCAAAGAAAATATAAGTCTTGTAGACAGTCTTCTATCAAAACCCACTGAACCGCCAGGCACGGTGGCTCACGCCTGTAATCCCAGCAGTTTGGGAGGCCGAGGCTGGTAGATCACCTGAGGTCAGGGGTTCGAGACCAGCCTGGCCGAAATGGTCTCTACTAAAAATACAAAAAATTAGCCGGGCCTGGTGGTGGCACCTGCAATCCCAGTTACTCGGGAGGCTGAGGCAGGAGAATCGCTTGAACCCAGGAGGTGGAGGTTGCAGTGAGCTGAGATAGCGCCACTGTACTCCAGCCTGGGTAACGAGAATGAAACTCCATCTCAAAAACAAAAAATAAACAAACAAAAAAACACTGCACCAAATACCAAGATAGTTATTTATTAACTAGGATACTGATTATTAAGCATGTAAAACATTTTCTGGAACTCAGAGTTTGATATAAATTGCTACATTTTATAATTCAAACAAACCTTGTTTCATGTCATTATATTAGAGTAGCATTATGAGATAGGATATAGTGTAAACTATATCCCCAATATAGTTGC